CTCATTCCAATTACAGAAAAGACTGATTGAGGAGGGAAACCCTCGATATCTTGTTGACCCATAAACACCGGTATCTTGTTTTCTTTGGATTCGCTCTGTTTACTGTAGACAACGACACCGCTCTTATTGTGCGTAAGTACTTTTTTCCAGCCATTCTCCTTGACAATATTCTTCAGGGCATCCAAAGCACTTTCCGCCTTTCGTATGTAGTACTCCGTGGTAAACCTACCGGGATCAACTAAAGTTGCACTAAAATCTTCTTCGGAGTCGACCACCTCATTCGTCAATTCTTGACTAGATTCTTCTTCATATTCTTCTTCAGAGATTTCTGGATACACTTCATTCATTTTTAAGTTTGGATGGATGGATGCTTATAGTGAGAAAGCGAAATAGGTGTGTGACTCTGTCAAAGAGGAATTAATTTAATGAAAGTTTTCGCAGGAATAAACTATAGAAGGGAAACACGGGCACGGGGGTTGAGGTTAAGGACAACAAGCTTAACCTTATGGTTTCGCGTTAACCGTGCCTTTTGTTTAAAAAAAGAATATCTATATATATAATTTCCGATTAAATAAAAAGAGGTTTTTGCAAAACTCATATTTATATGCACTGGTCATAAAGGGTGAATATGCGCTCACAAGTTCCTTGGCTTAACATATTTGGCAAATGCAATAAATAATATTCAAAGATCGGTGTTCATGGATCTCGTGAAAGGGAACATCATCGACCAAAATGGTATCTTTTAATAGAATTTAATAAATTTCTTCTATCACCGTAAACAAAAAGTCCTCAGGAAAAATGAAAGTAAACACGGAGATCCGAAGCAATAAATGTATTAGACGAATCGACAGTATAATTATACAACCGTTCTCTTTTTTGGTCTAAACGTCGGTTAACAATACTGGGAATGGAAAGAATCCATGCATCACTAATTAAACATTCCATTGTAGTATAAATTAACATTGAGGATAGTAATTCATTACGTAATTGAAACAGGTAATACTGTATTATTGGGGTCAGTTGGGAAAATCTTCAAAATAGAAACCGACAATTCATAACTATTTAAAAAAAACTTTAACAAATATAATTTATTTTTTTCGGGTAAACGTGTGATAATAATAACTCAATGGAAAATCTATGCGACTTTCTTGTTTATAAGATATATCGTTCAGAATCTACAATTTCCATTACCACGTAATGGATTATTATTAATTTCTATCTCCCCTCCTTTTTTTTTTTGTCAAATAAATAATTATAGTATTGTATTGTTATAAAAAGGAAATTTTGGTTGCGTGTGCTGAAAAGCGAAAGGCCCCCGACGAGTAATTGTAATTACGTGAAGCTTGCTTTCCATTTATAGTAATGATCAGAGTAGCGCTCGATGAAATCGACAGGTACAATAATGGTATTTAAGGGATAGAGTGTACCTTTTTTTTTTAATTCATTGTGTAGTGTGTTTGGAAACAGCCTCGAACTGGATTATTTTTATTTTTTTCTTTTTTTTTGGTTCATTATATACAATGCATCAAGACCAAGGACCGTGCCAATGACGAAAACCTTGGTAATATTCCGAGGTGCTACCGTCGAAAGGGAATATCTTTGGTATACACTCTATAACTCTTTCTCTATCAACCACGACCATCTCTTCCACCATCACCTTGGAAACCTTGTGATACGAACCCAAATGACAGCAAATACCTTGGTAATTATAATGCTTGCCATCTCTTCCCTTACACAGTTGACATCGATACACTTCACACTGTGAACATCCATGATTAAGTGCTCCTAGTACCGTGGTAATAGATCCAGGTCGTATCGGACCTGGTAACTTGTGCAACTCGTTGGCCTCTTTGCGAAGCTGAGGGATCAAGTCGAGAAGTAGGTATTGGGTGCTCCATGGATTTCTCGGATCGTTGTTGATGAACGGAGGGTCTTGATAAGATGGGCACCACCTTAGACACTCCAAAAGCGGATCTGACACCGAAACTCGGTAATCCGATATCTCTGATCCGGTGATTCCTGTTATTCCGGCCGGATATGTGCGTGCCGTATCATCGGCAGTTAATAAAGATAGGATGCACATGCATATCTGTTTCCGTCGCTGTTGTTTCATTAATTCCTCGTACTCCGTCATCATTGCACTTTTTAAATTTATCCAGTCTTTTTCAAAGTAAGGTTCTCGAGAAAGTTCGAAAGCCTTGGTGCACGATTTTAATTCCCAAATCCAACGAACAACATATTTTGACTCTCCATCGTCACGTTGCATCTCTCTTAACTCATGAATGATCTTTTCAAATTCTTTTTTGTCTTGCTTCCTGCGAGAAATTAGCCAATAACATTCGTCCTGTCTCCGTTTCCGGGAGTACTCCATTATTTTGTGTGTCTCCGATCTCTTTTTTCTAAACCATATTGCAGCATCTTCCCGGGTGAGTGATTTGAACTCTTTACAAATCGTTCTAACATCGCGAAACCAAAACATTTTCGGCGAGTCATATTCTGGTCCCTTTCTAAGATAGGGTAAACAATTGGACGTATCAACCAGTAACAGCGCACCACTCGGGAGATCACGATTGCTTGAAAGAAGAAATTCGCTTGCAAGGTTAACCATCTAATCATAATAAAAAGCACTGAGATCATCATAAATGCTATTCACCTTACAACTTTTCTATTAAAACACTTTTTGCAACATCGCACACGAAATACCCAGTAAACCTTACAATTTTCCTTTCGTGTCCCACAGAATTGGCATCCTTTCTCGACTAAGCCCAATCTGATGTAAGATTGCTCATCCATATTAGCAAATGGTTTCAACTGTAGATATGGCAGAAATTTTAGTCTAGAGGTTCGCCAAATGCCCTGGGTGCCCGGGGATGCGGAGTTCAACCAATACCTAAATTGTTTACAAACTTCTATGAGGGAGAACAGGTCTAAAGGATGTAGGTGACTACATATTTCTATAAAGATATCAACAGGAATGATGGTCATATGTGAACCATGATGCCCTTGATAAGTTGACGACAAAATAATTTGTGCCATCCACCAAGTTCAATCAAAAAGAGTTGTATGGATGATAGACTAGACTATATACTGTATATGTATTAAACAAATGCAACTTACGTGTGTGTACTACCAAAAAATCATATTTGGTAAGTTGTGGTGATATCCGATTGGGAAGAATGACACGACATGACACAAAACCTCGTAGATGCAGTATATACTGTAACTGTACAAATAATTTAGTGTTATATTTTAATAACGTAGAATTTAATTAATTTTTAAAGTATGGTTTTTTATGTTAAAAAATCACTATGAATCATCAAATTAAAAAATCCAATATGTATTGATAAAAAAAAACAATTCTAATTAATTTTGAATAATTTCATATAAACTTTCGAAAAAAAATAATCAAGTTATTACACTTTATCTTAACAAAAATGTATAATTTTTTAAAAAAATATTGTTTTTTATCTGAATTTGATAATAATAATTCGTATCACAAAAATAATATAAAAAATAAAGTTATACAAAAAGAATTTTTCAATATGTCCAAATAATATTGTTAAAAAATAAAAAAAATATAAAATTATTACAATATTTAAATCAATTAAACATTGATTCATAAAATTTTAAACAAAAATTTTTATAATTTTTTTATTAATAAATGATTTTATAAACTACTTCCTTTTTATAAAATCGGACAAACAATTTTTTCCAATAAGTAAAAAAGGAATTTTTTTTTATAATATTGTAAAAAGGAAATCGATGTTTTATTAATAGCCAACAAATGATTTTTTATATGCAGTATAATAAAAATATAAAAAGAATTCGAATATGGATCATAATACTGTATAAAAATGTTATTTTATATTATAAAAAAATTATACAAGATTAATTATTGAATTATTTGAAACATTAAAAAATATTTTTTTATATATATTTTAAAATATAGATATTCATGTTTGCATCTTATTTTATTAATCGGTTATTGAAAAATAATAAATCAAAATCAAAGTTTGAACCAGACTGGATATACAGTATTATACAGTATATATAATATATTATATAATAAAAAAATTTTAATTTTAATTTTAAAAATAATTGATTTTTAATATGCAATGCGATATATACAGCATCTAGTACATATACTGTATCTAAAATCAAACGATTTAACATTGAAGAATAAAATTAAAATTAAAATATTTTACACTGATACATTAATTTACATGTAAAATCATAATTAAACTAGGTAATAACGGACGAATACACTGAATATTGGGTAATTATATTTGAAGGCGGTCAAATTTTTTGGATCCATAATTGTGGTCCTCAAAATTTCATTGTGTATGATCATTTAAAAAATAGGGACCGAAAAAATCTTATTTGGCATTTCGTCGCCTTCAAAGAAAATTGCTCATATGCACATTATTTTAATACATACAGTATATGATTATTATGACTTACAATATATAGAAATTAAAAGGATAATCATTTGTGTGATCCGTGATACTTGAACCAATTACGACCTCTCAGAAAGTAATCAAAGATCATCGCGATGGAACCTTTCACCGAGTTCATTTCAGCTCACGGGTTGACACTTGAGAGTAATCCGCAATCCTACCGCTCTCTCAAGTCCATTCGTCGCATTCCCAAGGGCACTGATGTTGTTTACTCTGATCCCCTAGCCAGCTTTCCAATTCCATCAGCAGGAAAAATTTATTGTGATCAATGCCTTGAAATTCCAATAAAACCACTTCTGACATGCTCAAAATGTAAACAAATATTTTACTGTAGCACATCCTGTCAGAAAACTTCATGGTCTTTGCATCATAAACATTTATG